CCCCCCGTAACAAGGACTCAGACCAGGCGCCTCCGGCAGGGGGGCAGGGCGGCCAGTTCGCAAGGGCGGACTCTTAGGCCTCACCCCCCTCCCAGAGCCAGGAGGCTCCTGACCGAGAGGGGCGGAGGGATACAACGACCCCTTCGCCCCGCGACCTCGGTCGGGAGCGTAGGGGCGGGCCAGGTCTGGACGGGACCGGACCCGGCCAATAGCGACCCTAGTAGGTGAGGAATGACCGGACGGGGGGGCTCACGTCGGGTTATGGAGGATAGGTCACACGGGCTGGGGGAACATGTTTTCCCGGCCCGGTATTGGAGGTGGGGGGTCTAATTCTCCGCCCTGCGACTGAGGGCGTCCCGGAAGTAATGCGCAAGCGGTTCCCGGGACAGCCTCGCAATGGCCGCAACGGGCCCGGCAGAGGTTTTAGTGGGTAGGCCCCCCCCGGACGGTTAGTTCCGGGGGGGGGGAGAGTCCCACACTACCCCTGGGAAAGTCCCGTATTTCCCGGGGGTGTGCGTAAAGCATTTCCTTTGCCTAAACAAAAAAAAAATAGTGTTGCATAAACACGCGAGATATAATTATTTCATATTTTATGCGTTCGAATATTGTTCCATCATTATAAAATTTGGTAGCCCTGAAAAGAGCCCATTTTTATGCCGAAATAATTGAGGTCGATAGTCAATAGTCAGTCCAATACCCGGCACGGTCAATAATTTGATTGAATCGATTAGGTATCGAATCAATCATGTTCGCGAGAAAGTCGAGTCGAAGCAATGGTTCTTCCCAGACAACAAACGAAAAAAGCGGATAGCTTTTAATCATCAGAAATATTTTTAAGATGTTGCATTGATCTTAAATAAATGTTAAAATAACATTTGAAAAATATTTTTTGTAATGTTTTTGAAACATTTAAACAACATTCAGAAAAATCATATCGTAAAATAACATGTAAAAAATATAAATTCAATATTATTAAAAAATGTTCAAACAATGCACATGAAGTTAACGTTTCTAAACGTTAATTCTTGATGGTGATAGCAGAAACCGGTTGCATTTCTGTATCCATAGTAATAAGAAACAATAATTATTGAAATAGGCGCAAAAATCGGCTTTTTTCAGGGCCACCAAATTTTATAACGATAAAACGATACTCGAACGCATAAAATATGAAATAATTATCTCGCGTGTTTATACAACACTAAAATTAAAAATACTCTACTTTGACAACCTATACAAGCACTGTATTGTTGCAGTATTCTATTAGGACCTTAACTTAGTTTCCGCCCGCAAATGTTAGATGGCAATGCAAACAGTTCTAG